TTTTTTTTTTTCATTTATGTATTCATAACATATTTTTAGTCTGAAATATTGTTCTTCTAAGATTTTTTTTTGTATTATTATCAGAGAATAATTTTGGACAAAAACTCCTGCTTTTTTTTAGAACCAGTATCGAGTCATCACCCTCAGATCCTCGGCAGTCTCCAAGTCCAAATTTGTTGACACCTGTAAGTCCAGTATCTGTTATACCGCCGCCACCACCGCCACCAGCACCACGGATTGATCAGTTGAAACTTCCGGGTTGTACATCAAAAGCTGAAATTAAAAAAAATGTTCCCAAACCATCTGGAGCGCTCAAAACACTGAACTGGTCAGTGATACCGCACAGTAAAATACCTGGGACAGTTTGGGAAAAAATTGATGATGAAAAATTGTATCAACAAGTAGGTTTTTGAGAAAAAAAGATTTTTTTTTTTACAAATCACTTCTTATCAGCATATAATAATTACTAATGTTACTGCAGTGATTTTTTATGATGACAAACTTTACTTTACAGAAACATTTGATATTATTAACGGTAAAAATAAAACCGAAAAGTTTTGTCTACTGTTCTATTATTTAAATATAATAATGTATGAATCTATAGCAACGTCGTTTACAGATGGACTTACAAGACATTTGTTTGAACTTTGCTGTTGGTAAAAGCACGGAAGAGGCTGAAACGGTCAGTGAAACGCTGAAAAGGCGTCTACGAAACGATTCAACAATATCGGTGATTGAAGCTCGCCGAGCACAAAACTGCACCATTATGTTGTCCAAACTGAGGCTATCAAATAAACAAATTAAACGAGCTGTTTTATCGATGGACGAATATGGGGAGCTACCACGTGATATGATTGAGCAGGTCTAGCTTATTCATACAAGACTTAAATTATTTTTTCTTCAATCTTACATTTATTTTTATGCATAAGACTGTTTATTCTTGATAGAAAAACAACAGCCATTACTGATAATAGATATCACTTTATGTTTTTGGTTGAGAAAATATTGAGTTAAAATGGAGGATAAAGGAACAAAAGTTTTAAAAAATTAACCGGAACAAAAATTTTTCACTGTTTATGATTTAAAATTTTGTTTTGTTTTGTTCACTAAGGGCATAGTCACACTCAAAAGAAGCGGAAGCGGAAAAGCTTTTCAACAAATGTTTAGCAATATGGCCGATGTAGTCAGTAATCAAACCGAAATTCGGAAGACTTTTTTGTCACTGTTTAAAAATAACAAAACTTTTTAAGATGCTCAAATTTCTTCCAACAAAAGAAGAAATTCAACAAATGCGTACGGTTGTCGGTAAATATAAAACAGCAACCGTTTTGGCAATCGCTGATCGTTTTCTATACGAAGTTAGCAAGTAAGCAATGCTTAACAATTCCCTTGTAAAAACAAATAAATTGCATTCTAATTTTTTTTTCAGTAGTTCATATAACAACTTTTTTTTGGCTTACTGTATACAAATACGAATATTGATGATTAAAGTAAGAAGTCTACAGTAAGGCATTAAGTAACTTATCGCACTAAAATGTTTCTTTCGAATGATGGTATCTCTGTTTTATTGACAAAGTTGAACTGCCGTACTTCAGTAGTGCATATACCTTAGACGGCAACGGAGTACTAAATTGACAATGACAGTCGTTCAAAACTTTGTTAACTTACCGTCTATTATTTACTTACACACAGGTTTTATAGTAAGTTCTCTTAAGTGGCTTATAAGTTCACTTGGTGCCTTTGAAAATGAATATTCCGAAGGCTCATTACCGTTGAGAATTGATCAAATTTTAGTGTTCTTAGTGACAAATAGGTGTTAATTCAAAGGTGAAGCTTACAAAATTGGATGAAATTTTTAGAAACTTATCATTAAGTTGTACCTACTGAGACTGTTGAAAACTAGGTGTTTTGTTTACATGTTCCTGGCAAGTTGTTAATCAATTTTAATAGGTAATTAAGGAATTTTGATGTAAAAGTTTCAACGACGATTGGAGTATAATTGAAAAGCTCTCTTTAATTTTTATTTGCAGCTCTAAAAGTAAAAGTTTTTTAAATTTTTGAATCAGAAGTTATTATTTAAACAAATTTATTTGAAAGAAAGCTTTTGACATTACTCATTTACAGTGAATTGCTCTCTCCTCTCCTCTTTAAATAAAGGAACTTTTTTACCATTTTAATTTTATGAAAAAATATTATCAAGCAAACATATATCATGGCATCTTTTTGTATTGTTAATTTTAATGACAGAATTAAATGAAGACGTTTTTTTAGTTTTAGAAAGCACATTTTCTCATTGTTCAAGAGTAGGTTATGAGTGCATTTTTAATGTAATAATTTAGAAGTTAAATCTAAAAAAAAAAAAAACATATTTTATGTTTTGAAATTATTTTATATAACAGGTTTAAAATAATTTAAAGCCAAAATAACCTTATTCTTTAAGTTTTTAGAATTTGAAACAAAACTGTTCAGTTTCAATTATAGCAGTTGATTGATCATGACAATTTATTAGACCTCTTTTTGCAGTCATTTAATCTTTTAAATTCTTATAGTTTAACTGTATAAAAAGTA